CTTAGAAGACAGACAGGACAACAGAAAGCACCCAATCAGAACAGCTGAGAGAAAAACAAATATAAAACAATGAAAACAATATGAGGAACCTATGGGATAATATCAAGCATGCCAATCTATGCAAAATAGGGGTTCTAGAATGGGAAGAAAGAACAAAGGGGATGGAAAAGCTATTTAAAGAAATCATGACTGAAAACTTCCCAAACCTAAAGAAGGAATCAGACACCCAAGCACAGGAGACTCAGAGGTTCCCAAACAGGAAGAGCCTAAAGAGACCCACAGCAAGACATATCATATTCAAGTTGGCCAGACTGAAGAATAAAGACATGATCCTAAAGGCAGTAAGAGAAAAACAAAGAGTGAGTTACAAGAGAAGGCTCTCAGCTGATTTCTCTACAGAAGCACTACAGTCCAGAAGGGAGAGGCAAGATATATTCAAAGTCCTGAATGAAAAAACAGATGCAGCCTAGGATACTGTCTGCAGCAAGGCTATCCTTTAGAATAGAAGGAGAGATATAGATTTTCACACAGAAGCAAAAACTAAAAGACTTTAGCAACACTAAACCCATGCTAAAAGAAATATTGAAAGGTCTACTCTAAATAGAAAAGAAGCAGGATGCTACAGAAATGAGAACTCCAACTGGAAAGGTGATAGCTACCATGAATTACAAATAGAATAAATATGAAATTGTAAAAGAAGACATCTAAATCATTGAGTGGGAGAGGGAAGCAAGAAAATATAGAGTATTTTCTCTTTCTTCTTCTTCTGTTTTTTTAAATTTTTTGTTCTCAGTAGGATGGGTTTGGGATTACATTACTATCTGTTTAGTACACACAGTTAGAGTAATTGGTTAACATACTTAAAAAAAGTGTAACTACAAGCCAAAAACTTACAAGTGAGTCACAAAAACTAAATACAATCCAAGATAATACAAAGGAAAATTACCATACCACAAAAGGAAGAAGAATGGAACAGAGAAGAAATACCAAATCAACTGCAAAAATAAGTTCAAAAAAGCAATAAACACTCATCTATCATTCATTACTGTAAATGTTAATGGACTAAATGCTCCAGTCAAAAGACAGAGTGGCAGACTGGATATTAAAGCAAGATCCTTCAATACACTGCATACAAGGGACACACTTTAGGGAGAAGGACACATATAGATTGAGAGAGAATGGAAGGAAAAGGATAATCCATGAAAATGGAAACACCAAGAAAGCAGGTGCAGCAGTACTGATTTCAGACAAAATAGACTTTAAATCAAAGGCCATAAAGAAAGATAAATAAAGACATTTTATGATTAAAGGAGCAATACATGATGAGGATATTATAATCATTAATATATATGCACCCAACATGAGCACCTAAGTACATAAAACAACTACTAACAGAGATAAAGGGGGAAATTGATCGGAATACAATAATTATCAGAAATTTTCACACCACATTAACATCACTAGACAGATCTTCCAGACAGAAAATAAATAAGGCAACAGAGAAATTAAAAGATAGAAGAGAAAAATTAGATTTAGTGGATATTTTCAGAGCATTACAA